ACTTCAGATCAAGTTGCTACTGAACTTCGTAGGTCCACAAGGACACGTTCCGCACCAGAGTGGTACGGCAACCCTATCCTGGAAATCATGTTGTTGGACAATGGTGAACCTTCAAACTATGAAGAAGCGATGGCGGGCCCAGATTCCGACAAATGGCTGGAAGCCATGAAATCCGAGATAGGATCCATGTATGAAAAGGAAGTATGAACTTTGACAGACTTGGCTGATGATCGGCGAGCCATAGAAAATAAATGGATCTTTAAGAAGAAGACAGACGCGGATGGTAATGTGACCATCTATAAGGCTCGGCTTGTCGCTAAGGGTTATCGACAAGTTCAAGGGGTTGACTACGATGAGACTTTCTCACCCGTAGCGAAGCTGAAGTCCGTCCGAATCATGTTAGCAATTGCCGCATTCTATGATTATGAGATATGGCAAATGGACGTCAAAACGGCATTCCTTAATGGTTTCCTTAAGGAAGAATTGTATATGATGCAGCCGGAAGGTTTTGTCGATCCTAAGAATGCTGATAAGGTGTGCAAGCTCCAACGCTCAATCTATGGGCTGGTGCAAGCATCTCGGAGTTGGAACATTCGATTTGATGAGATGATCAACGCGTTTGGGTTTACGCAGACTTATGGAGAAGTCTGTGTTTACAAGAAAGTGAGTGGGAGCTCTATAGCATTTCTCATATTATATGTGGATGACATACTATTGATGGGAAATGATATAGAATTCTTGGAAAACATAAAGGCCTACTTGAACAAGTGTTTTTCAATGAAGGATCTTGGAGAAGCTGCTTATATATTAGGCATCAAGATCTATAGAGATAGATCGAGATGCCTCATTGGTCTTTCACAGAGTACGTACCTTGACAAGATATTGAAGAAGTTCAATATGGATCAGTCAAAGAAGGGGTTCTTGCCTGTGTTGCAAGGTACGAGATTGAGCACGGCTCAATGCCCGACCATGACAGAAGATAGAGAAAAAATGAATGTCGTCCCCTATGCCTCGGCCATAGGGTCTATTATGTATGCCATGCTGTGTACCAGACCTGATGTAAACCTTGCCGTAAGTTTGGTAGGAAGGTACCAAAGTAATCCCGGCATGGAACACTGGACAGCGGTCAAGAATATCCCGAAGTACCTGAAAAGGACTAAGGATATGTTTCTCGTTTATGGAGGTGACAAAGAGCTCGTCGTAAAGGGTTACGTCGATGCTAGCTTCGACACAGATCTGGATGACTCCAAGTCACAAACCGGATACGTGTATATTTTGAATGGTGGGGCAGTCAGCTGGTGCAGTTGCAAGCAAAGCGTCGTGACGGGATCTACATGTGAAGCCGAGTACATGGCAGCCTCGGAGGCAGCACAAGAAGCAATCTGGGTGAAGGAGTTCATTACCGACCTAGGAGTTATTCCCAATGCGTCAGGCCCGATGACTCTCTTCTGTGACAACATTGGAGCTATTTCCCTTGCCAAGGAGCCCAGGTTTCACAGGAAGACCAGGCATATCAAGCGTCGCTTCAACTCCATTCATGAAAATGTTCAAAATGGAGACATAGATATTTGTAAAGTGCATACGGACCTGAATGTCACAGATCCATTGACTAAACCTCTTCCTCGAGCAAAACATGATCAACACCAGAACTCTATGGGTGTTCGATTCATCACAATGTAACTAGATTATTGACTCTAGTGCAAGTGGGAGACTGTTGGAAATATGCCCTAGAGGCAATAATAAAATGGTTATTATTATATTTCTTTGTTCATGATAATTGTCTATTGTTCATGCTGTGTTATCCGGAAATCGTAATACATGTGTGAATACATAGACCACAACATGTCCCTAGTGAGCCTCTAGTTGACTAGCTCGTTGATCAATAGATGGTTACGGTTTCCTGACCATGGACATTGGATGTCATTGATAACGGGATCACATCATTAGGAGAATGATGTGATGGGCAAGACCCAATCCTAAGCATAGCACAAGATCGTGTAGTTCGTCTGCTAGAGCTTTTCTGAATGCCAAGTATCATTTCCTTAGACCATGAGATTGTGCAACTCCCGGATACCGTAGGAGTGCTTTAGGTGTACCAAACGTCACAACGTAACTGGGTGACTATAAAGGTGCACTACAGGTATCTCCGAAAGTGTCTGTTGGGTTGGCATGAATCGAGACTGGGATTTGTCACTCCGTATGACGGAGAGGTATCTCTGGGCCCACTCGGTAATGCATCATCATAATGAGCTCAGTGTGACTAAGTAGTTGGTCACGGGATCATGCATTATGGCACGAGTAAAGTGACTTGCCGGTAACGAGATTGAACGAGGTATTGGGATACCAATGATCGAATCTCGGGCAAGTAACATACCGATTGACAAAGGGAATTGAATACGGGATTGATTGAATCCTCGACATCGTGGTTCATCCGATGAGATCATCATGGAATATGTGGGAGCCAACATGGGTATCCAGATCCAGCTGTTGGTTATTGGCCGTAGAGTTGTCTCGGTCATGTCTGCATGGTCCCCGAACCCGTAGGGTCTACACACTTAAGGTTCGGTGACGCTAGGGTTGTAGAGATATTAGTATGCGGTAACCCGAAAGTTGTTCGGAGTCCCGGATGATATCTCGGACGTCACGAGGAGTTCCAGAATGGTCCGGAGGTAAAGATTTGTATATATGAAGTCCAGTTTCGGCCACCGGGAAAGCTTCGAGGTCATCGGTATTGTACCGGGACCACCGGAAGGGTCCCGGGGGTCCACCGGGTGGGGCCACCTATCCCGGAGGGCCCCATGGGCTGAAGTAGGAAGGGAACCAGCCCCTGGTGGGCTGGTGCGCCCCCCATGGGCCTCCTCCTGTGCCTAGGGTTGGAAACCCTGGGGGTGGGGGGCGCCCCACCAAACTTGGGGGGCAAGTCCCCCCCCCCTTGGCCGCCGCCCCCCCCTAGATGGGATCTACAAAGGGGCCGACGCCCCCTGGCCCCTATATATAGTGGAGGGGAGGGAGGGCAGCCGCACCCAAGTCCCTGGCGCCTCCCTCCCTCCCGTGACACCTCTTCCTCCCCGCTTGCACTTGGCGAAGCCCTGCCGGGATCCCGCTACTTCCACCACCACGCCATCGTGCTGCTGGATCTCCATCAACCTCTCCTTCCCTTGCTGGATCAAGAAGGAGGAGACGTCTCTCCCAACCGTATGTGTGTTGAACGCGGAGGCGTCGTCCGTTCGGCGCTAGGATCTTCGATGATTTGGATCACGACGAGTACGACTCCATCAACCCCGTTCTCTTGAACGCTTCCGCTCGCGATCTACAAGGGTATGTAGATGCACTCCTCTCCCCTCGTTGCTAGATGACTCCATAGATTGATCTTAGTGATGCATAGAAAATTTTAAATTTCTGTTACGTTCCCCAACAGCGGGGCACTGTGGGGTGGATGGGAGAAAGAGAAAAAGAGGAGAGAGACGGGGGTGGGATGGATGGGTGGCTGACAGATGGGCCAGTGCTCGCATGCAGCAGACGGAGGCGGACGAGGAGGCCACCGAAAGCGTTCGCTTTGTGTCCGCCGCGGACCCAAATGTGTCCCAAATTTGGGATGAAAATGGGTCCGACGGACACGAAATGGACAGCGGGCGGATGCTGTGTCCGTTTGGGTTGCCCCGTTGGGCCAACTTTTGTGTCCGGATGACCCAGACGGACAATAATAGGTCGCCCCATTGGAGTTGCTCTCAAGGGCAGTGAAGATGAGTATCGTCCCATGGGTTATAGAAAGCCAGGAAGAAATAAATGTCCCACGCCCCACGAGATAATAGGCATGTGTGTGCTAGATGCTCATTTATTTCATGCCCAAAATAGGCAAAGTTTGGAGACCTCAACATGTGGATAACCTCGGATGGCCAGACCATCCGCGACAAGTGTCTTACTACGAAGGAGAAGCCACAAAAATATCATACACCGTGGTTTGGCCTTGGACATCCAAATTTCGTGGAAAGGAATGGGATTGTAGCGCTAATAAATTATGGTTGTGTGCGAATAAGGTCGAGTATAACCTCGAGGTTAAAGCAATCTAGACAATGAAATCCTCTAGTGCACGGTCAAAGTGAACATCTTGAAGCAACCAAAGGAATATACTCGAGAATTTATTGCATAGAAGTGACTGCTCAGAGGGATTGTATCCAACGGTTATCGCAGAGCCCATACATCACCGTATTGGCTTGCGCCTAGCAAGCTCGAAAATTGAAGGTGCAGTGTCTTTCAAAGTCTTGACAACTAGCTACCAACTGTCAACGTCTTTCAATTTTCTTAAGCATGTAGTAGAAAGAAAAAGAAGAAGAAGAAGAAGAAGAAGAATAATAAAGTACAAATTTTCAGAGTTATAAGAGCCACCGCCCTCAACGACAAAATGATAAAACACAACCAGAAAAGATACACAACTAATAACCTCAAACAAATAAGAACTCGGTATATTTAAAAGCAATGACGAATCCAAGAAGGAAATGAAGGGCGGGCTGGAAATTAACTGCGAGAAAAAACCAAAGGCCATTTCTGAAAGAAAAAAAATGACATTCTCTCCAAACGCCATTGTCTAATAAGCTCCAAAAAAAAATCCAGATTACTACTGAAAACATATGTAAAAAATCATGAGCTTGTGGTGCCTGATCATGATATGAACAAAATTTACTCCAAATACTGTACAAGAAAAAAGGTACCCTTGGGTGAGCTTTCTTCTGCCTCCGTGCTCGCGTGTTCCCCATCCTGTACAATCTACTTGTACAGTCAGATCCAACTCCAAGTAAGCGAGCACCAAGTCGAAGCGAGCCATGCGGGACTAGCGGCGGCGCGCCGGAGAGGAGTCGAGGAGGCGGAGGACGAGGTGGTGGGAGCCGGGCCGATCGAGCTTGGCGCTCCCTGCCCATCCAGATCCAGGAGCCGCGGCTGAGGGCGCATCTCAGCGATCGATTCTAGGGTTTCAGGCGACCAATCGGCCTCCGGTTCCGGCCATGGGGTCGCCGCGGCTCAAGCTCAATGTCGGCCGAGATGGGGACAGAATCAGCGCGCTCCACGACGACCTCCTCCTCGGGATCCTCGAGCGCCTCGACCTGCGCGACGCGGTCCGCGCCGGCGCGCTTTCGACGCGGTGGCGGCACCTCCCCTACCGGCTCTCGCGCGTGCACCTCAACGCCGGCCACTTCCACCGCGCCACGCTGCTCGAGGGCATGGGCGCGTTCGAGGACGCGGCGTGCAGGCTGCTGCCCGTGTGTCCTCCTCCGGGCGACTGCAAGAGCCCTCGTGTCATCGAGACCCTCGCCCTCACCTTCTGCGTGTCAGCCCCTCACCTGAGCTCCATCGGCCGCGCCGTTGAGGACGTCGTCAGCCGCGGCCACACCAAATGCTTCCAGTTTGACATATGCTCCCGATGCAAGGACGGCACTAGGCGCACCACCCAGCTGTTCACAGAGTTAGGGAAGCACTTCATGTCATTCTCCAGCGCCTACCCTGTCGCCTTCGGGTGGCTCACGTTTTTTACACTCGAGGACCTCGCATTTGGGGATTCCGATGTCGCAGACCTCATTCGTGGTTGTGATAAGCTCAAGGACCTCAAGCTGAGATCCTGCAGACTGGTTGACCGACACTCTGCGCTCAAGATCGACACGCCGCAATGCCGGGCTTGAGAATCTTTGCTTCACCAGCTTTCTTGCGCACTGATCGAGCTTATCTCCGTCCCTAAGCTCAGGGCATTCTGGTGTTGGAGCTGTAAGAACCCTCCGGTGCGCTTCGGCTATGTTCCTGAGCTTTACATAGTGGAACTCGGTTCTCAGGCCAAGGCATCGCAAGTGCCATTTGCCCTGAGCGAGTGCTTTTCAAGGAGTGCCACAAACCTGTCTAAACTGTATCTCAATTTTGGCTGTCAAATGGTAAGTTAATTTCTCTGCATCTACTATCACATTTTATCCTTTCTACTAATGTCAGCTCTCTATTGTATTCTTGTTCTTGCTGCAGATTTGGATTAAACCAGAACACCCGAAGGAGCTCACTTATATATTCAACAACCTGAATAGTTTGGCGCTTTACAATATCTTTTCTGAGTGTGACCTGAGCTGGACCTTGTTTATCCTTGAAGTTGCACCTGCCCTACAGAAATTCAGAGTATGTCATTACTTTACCTCTTTAAATTTAATCCACATCTTAGTCTTGATGCGACTCACATATTTCCGGAATATTCAGCATTAATAACATAGCAGGAAGTTAAACTAATTTTCAATCGCTCACGGCTCACCAACTCTGATCTATCACAAATATTAAATAGTATTGCTTACATGCCTCCTTGTAAGTATTTTTGTAGCGAGACAATGCCGTGTAGACAAAAAAATTCTGCTGAATCGTATTGCATATTAGATTTCTCCGAAAACCCCTCCTTATTTTTTTGGAAGGAGGTAAGGGCTGGCCTCTGCATCGTTTGGTGCACACATCCCTCTATTAAAATTCCTTATTGCAAAGTATCTTGTTGGAAAGAAAACATGTGAGCAGCTGTAATTTCATATAAATCCCTGAAGCACATTGTTAGGTCCCCGCTATCACTTCACTAGAATTCACCGCAGAGTACAGGATTTAGGTAGCAGAATTTAGAGTTCTAGAGGAAGAAATTGGGGATAGAGGAGGAGCCGCCGCCGTCCAGAGTCTAGTTTCTCCACACCCCGCACCCAGCGAGGGGATGCCGTACTTAACCTTACTTGCCGGTGCTCCATTCTGGGCCTCCGTAGCGCTTGCTGGGCTGGGCCTGGCGACGCGGTCGTTCCAGCCCAGCTGCCGTGGTCTTGGCGCTGCCGCCCGGGTCTTCTGCCGTTGGGGCCTGAGGGCCATGGGCCGTAACATCCCTCCCTCCTTCAGACACAGCTTGCCCCCAAGCTGGAGCATTTGGGAAGTGTTGCTGCAGCTCGATACGGTCTTCCCAGGTGGCAAACTCCGCCGGTTGGTCCGTCCAGCGAACAAGGACCTGTGGAACTCCGGAGTTGCCGCGCTGCACCATTCGGCTGTCCAGAACCTCCTCAGGAACGGGGCTTGTCGCTGCTGCTGCTGGAAGTTGCTGGTGGACTTGCTCCGTGGGTGGAAGGGCTTGACGCAGCTGCGAGACGTGGAAGACTGGGTGCACGGTGCTGGTCGGTGGAAGTTGAAGCTTGTAGGCCACTGCACCAATGCGCTGCAACACCTTGTAGGGCCCGAAGTACCGGAAGGAGAGCTTCTGGTTGCTCCTTGTCGCCACTGACCGTTGGACATACGGTTGGAGCTTGAGGAAGACCCAATCATCCACCGCAAATGTGCGATCTGAGCGACGTTTGTCCGCCGAGTCCTTCATGTGCTGGCGCGCGCGCAACAGGTGCTGCCGAATGAGCGCCACCATTTGCGCCCTATCTTGGAGCCAATCCGCCAGGTCCGGTGACGCGCACGCCACGGGGTCGATGATGCCGAAGTGTCTTGGCGCATGTCCGTAGAGTACCTCGAAGGGAGTGGTGCCCAGCGCAGAGTGCGGTGAGGTATTGTACCAGAATTCCGCGAGAGGCAGCCAGGCGTACCACTTGGTTGGTGTAGCATTGACGAAACAGCGCAGGAAAGTCTCCATGCCTTGATTCACGCGCTCTGTCTGCCCGTCTGTCTGCGGGTGCCAAGCGGTACTCATGCGCAACTTGGTATGAGTCAGCCTGAACAGCTCCTTCCACAAGACGCTAGTGAAGATCGGGTCGCGATCCGATATGATCGACTCCGGCAGCCCATGCAATTTGTAAATGTTAGCCACGAAAGCTTGAGCCACTTGGAAGGCTGTGAAAGGATGGGACATGGCGACGAAGTGGGCGTACCGTGAAAATTTATCGACGACCACCAGGATGGAGTTGTAACCAGCCGAGCGAGGTAACCCATCGACAAAGTCCAACGACACCATCTGCCAAGCTTGAGTGGGAACCGGCAGTGGCTCAAGAAGACCTGGATACCGAACTCGTTCAGGCTTCGCTTGTTTGCAGGTCTGGCATGCGTCCACGAAGAGCTTGATGTGGTGCTTGAGTCCTGGCCATGTAAACAGTCGCCGCACTCGGCGGTAGGTGGCGTTGAACCCCGAGTGACCACCAATTGCTCCGGTGTGGAGAGCCTCGAGAATCTGTTTTTGCAATGCTACGTTGTCACCCAACCATACCCGGCCATGCTGCTTGATTACCCCCTGGCTGAGTTGAAAGCCATCCTGCGCTTCCGGTGCTGCTGCCAGCCGTGCGAGTAACCGTTGCGCTGCTGGGTCCTCAGCGTAGCCTTTCTGCACTTCCTCCAGCCAGGCCGGTATTGCCGATGTGATTGTTGCAAGATCCCCTTGAGGTACAGGAGGCCGCCGCGATAAGGCATCTGCTGCCCGGTTATCTACTCCTTTTTTGTAGACGATGCGGTAGCGGAGCCCGAGCAGCTTGGCCATGATCCTCTGCTGCCACGGCGTCGCTAGCCGCTGGTCCTCCAAGTGAATGAGACTGCGCTGATCTGTGTGCACTATGAACTCATCGTTCTGCAGATATGCCCGCCAGTGGTCGACTGCTAAGAGAATGGCCAAACCTTCCTTTTCATAGGTGTAGAGCATGCGGTTGCGTGGTCCCAATGCGCGACTGAGGAAACCAATAGGGTGCTTCTCTTGTGAGAGTACTGCGCCAATCCCTTGATCGCAAGCGTCAGTTTCCAGCTCGAAGGTTTTAGTGAAATCCGGCAGGGCGAGCACCGGGGCTGTGACCAACGCCTGTTGGAGCTCTCTGAACGAGGCCTCTTCGAGTTGAGTCCACCGGAACACCACGTTCTTCTTCAGGAGATCCGTGAGAGGGCGGCTGATGACTGCAAACCCTCGGACGAACCTCCGATAATAGCCTGCAAGGCCCAAGAACCCTCGCACTTCTTTCACACAAGTAGGTACTGGCCAAGTCTGAACCGCGCTGATGTTTCTGTTGTCTGTCCGCACACCATCCCCGCTGATCTCATGTCCTAGGTATAAGAGCCGGGGGCGAGCAAAAAAGCATTTGCTTCGCTTGAGCTTGAACTGATGTTCTTCCAGACGTTGGAACACTTGGAGTAGCAAGGTCACATGAGTCTTCTTGTCCTTGCTGTGCACTAAGATATCGTCGATGAACACGAGTACGCCATGGCGCAGCAATGGTGACAGTACCGTGTTCATCCCTCCCTGAAAGGTGGCTGGCCCTCCCGTCAAGCCGTATGACAACACCTTGAACTCGAAATGACCATGATGTGTTTTGAAGGCCGTTTTGTGGGCATCTTCTGGTTTCATGCGGATCTGATGATAGCCCGAGCGCAGGTCCAGGGTAGTAAACCAACACGACCCTGCTAGCTCGTCGAGAAGTTCCTCAATCACCGGCAGGGGAAACCTGTTCTTGATTGTGATAGCGTTGAGGTGCCGGTAATCAATGCAGAATCGCCAAGTCAAATCCTTCTTTTGAACCAAAAGGTACAGTCCGCTTCGCTTGGTGTTGACTCTGTGGATGGTGTCGGTTGTGATGGGCCTTGCAACATCTCAATCAGCTCTTCCACCACATGGAGCTGCACAGTTGGCGCGCAACGATGCTCGCGACTCCAGCGCTCGCCGCAAGTGAAACAGAGTCCTTTGGCTCGCCGATAAGCCCGCAGGGTCGCTAGCTTGTCGTCGTTCGGTGGAGCTCGAGATGTCTCTGGTGGCCGAGACTCTGAAGCCGTGCCCCCTGGCCGAGCGGTGGATGTTGGTGGTGGAGGTAATGGCAGGGCCATACGAGGAATTGCCCGCCCCCCTTGAGAGCTTGGCGGCGGCGCGGGGTGGCGCCTCTCGTCCCGCCGAAGGGCCTCCACAACTTCTTCCTGCAAACACGCAAGATCCACAGCAGTATCCAGAGTTTGGGGTCGATGCAAAACAACAACAGCACGAATTTCACGTTGTAATCCATCCATGAACTGGGTGACAAAAAATGCAGGATCCCATGAACTATGATGAGCTAATAAGTTATGCTTCAACTGAGTAAATTGCTCAGCATATTCAGTGACAGTGCCCGTTTGTCGCAAGCGATTGAACTGGCGCAGCAAATTCTGAAATTCCTCCCTACCAAACTGTGCACAAATAACTGCTGCAAACTCCCCCCACTCCTGGTAATGCAAGTGAGCTTGCGATGACTGCAGCCATGACAGTGCGCTGTCGGTGAAATACATCGCAGCACAACTAACCCATGTGTCCGCGCTCAAGGTGCACACCCGAAAGTATGCTTCACATTTGAGATGCCAAGCACGCGGATTGGATCCATCGAACAATGGAAAGTCAAACCGCGGCGGTGGTGGCAACCGAAAGTACCCTCGATCCCCCGCAAATGACTGTTCACCGTGGTGGTAGAAATCAGACGTACCAGTGGCCGGAGGCAATCGAGGGGTACGGGTCTCCCCTGACGATTTCCCCCGAAGATCGGTGAGAACGCCGTGGCCATCGGGCCCGTGACTGTTGTCACCACGAGGTAAGGTGTCGACGGCGCGCAGATGGGGTGCGTCGGCCGTCGGTGGCGGCAATCGGGGCCGCGACCCTTCCGCGAGGTGAGGAAGCAGCGGCGGAAGCTCGTTGAGCCGCAGGGAAGGAGGTGGTGGAGCGGTCCCCGCAGCTTTGTCCACCGGCGATGTGAGCGTGGCCTTGTCGATCTGAGTCCGCAAGTGACCCACCTCCGATCGGATCTCCTCCACGGACTGCTCGATCTGGGGCCGCCATCCTTGCAGCTCGTGGACGACGGGGTGGATGTCCTCGATCGCCGCGGTCAGATCCGCGATCGCCTTGGTGTGCTCCTCCATCGTCGTGGCCTTACCCTTCCTTGTCTGGATGATAGAAGGAAATCTCCCCGCCAGATTGGGGAGGGTGGAGAAAAAAAAAGCTGGATCTAGTGGCTCTGATACCAATTGTTAGGTCCCCGCTATCACTTCACTAGAATTCACCACAGAGTACAGGATTTAGGTAGCAGAATTTAGAGTTCTAGAGGAAGAAATTGGGGATAGAGGAGGAGCCGCCGCCGTCCAGAGTCTAGTTTCTCCACACCCCGCACCCAGCGAGGGGATGCCGTACTTAACCTTACTTGCCGGTGCTCCATTCTGGGCCTCCGTAGCGCTTGCTGGGCTGGGCCTGGCGACGCGGTCGTTCCAGCCCAGCTGCCGTGGTCTTGGCGCTGCCGCCCGGGTCTTCTGCCGTTGGGGCCTGAGGGCCATGGGCCGTAACACACATTTGCATGTCTTACTTTATCTGGGACTCAACTCATGCTGATTCATCCAAAAACTCTACATGGGCCTAAACTTAAATACTACTCCTTCCGTCCCACAATGTAAGACGTTTTTGCAAGCTATATTGTGGGACGGAGGGAGTATTATTGAGCGTATTTCAATATTTTAAGTGACTAAGATATTAAATTGCAATTGTTGTTACATTGTCCTGCATGATTTGGTGGCAAGTTTAATTCTAACATGTGGTGTTTACTTTCCATGTCCATACATGAAGTTATCTCGAACTCAACACCCATGTGCCAAAGTGTCCAAGGACAACCCCGAGAAGACTAACATCGTGTGGGAACCATCCAAGGATTTGAAGCACCTGAACCTGAAGTTATTTATAATGTTTGGGTTCGAGGATGAAGACAAGGCGGCAAACTATATAAGGCTTGTCATGGAACATGCCGTGGGCTTGAAAAGAATCGAGTTGCATGGTAGAAGCCCATGCAATGGGTGCGATGCCATCGACCTTGAGTCCCTGAGAAGAAGATCCCAGGCGGATGAAGCTAGCAGGCATCGGATTAAGGAGCAACTCACGCATGGATCTTCCTCGTCCGTGGAGATAGTAATCTGCTGATGGATATGGTGAAGGGATGATAAATCTCATAAAGCTGCTAGAGCGACGACTGCACGAGGTGCAGGCAGTCGTAATTTTAAGTTCAGTTATTGATAGCCAGAGAATACTTGATTGGCGTGGACCTCGCAGTGTAGATTACTGCAATCTGGATGGATGATTTTGCTTTTGTCCAATTTACGGAGTAATTGCCCATGTTTGTTCTTTGGCATGATTCAAATTCTTGACTTCTTGAGGCTCTCTCTTTCGTGAATGCGTCTTTGGCAACGTTTCCTAGGCTCAGAACGCGACTTGCCTTCTGAATTTCTCTTGTCAATATCAACATTTGACTGAAGCAGCTGTTATGGAAGCCAGCCAGCCAGGTTGACTGAGGCGAGGGTGTAGAGGAAATATTTGTGCACAACTACTGAGAATTTGCCTATTGTATGCTGATTTCGTGCCTGGAGGACTGCCGGAGGCGTTCTCTTTTCAGGATGTGAATTGCCTTTGGGAAACCTTGAGCATCCACCGAACAAGAAAGAAAGTACTCCATGGAGCTCATGGAAGCTGGCCAAATGCGTTTTTTTGCACGCCTCCTGGAAACTTGTAGCTCTAGCAGGAACTTGTAGCGCATCAATGTGCCAACCTGCGCCAGCCAAAAAAAAAAAATCTCTGAGATGATCTGAGGTTTACACTTACAGGGGAGAAAAAATTGGCTAGAACCAGCAGCTAAGGACAGTCTAAGGTGCGGTTCAGAACCAGCAGCTGTTAGTTTTCAAGTTTAGTTAGAAAGCTTGACTAAATACGTCAAAGAAAAGAAAAAGCTGGACTAAATTATAAATACCACTCATTTTGCATTTTTCTACGGGCTGCCGCGGCGACAGTTTCAAGATTAACAAAGAACTGGACAAGTTGTTGGGTGAGTGATCAGAATGTTCGAACCGTTGGAAATTGCACGGGGCAGAAAAAGTTGAACCATGAAACAGCTTTAATTTTGAAAAGACTTCAGAGACTCGATATTTGGACCCATTTTTCTCATAAGGCTCATTTTTCTTCATTGTTTGTACTCATGGAGGATCTAAAAGGGAGTGGAAGGGCGATCGTGGTTTTCGTTTTGAGGCGTGGTGGCTGCAGGAGGAAGGTTGTAGCG